CTCCAAACCTTTCCCGGTGCTTTTTTTCCTCCCGCGGCACCTCTTCCCCTTGGGCGGCCCTTCAGATATCAGAGGACCGCCATCGGGTCTCCCCTCAGCCTTGTGTTCAGGAACAAGCAGAGGGTACCTCAGTACAGCCCCGTGCAAGGAGGCCCAGTGAGATGCACCTGTTGCCTGCTACTTTTGGCTGAACGCTTTTTTCTCTCTGCCTCAGCCTGCATGATGAACGTGCACAAGCGCTGTGTCATGAACGTGCCAAGCCTCTGCGGGACAGACCACACCGAACGCAGAGGCCGGATACACATCAAGGCGGACATTGAGAACGAAGTCTTGATGGTTATTGGTAAGTCTGGCTTCTCGGCGGTTCAGGGAAGGAGGACGGAATCCTTCTCTTCCTGTCGACGGGGACCTCATGGTTTGCTTTACAGCTGTCTGCATCCGTGATGCGTGGCTAGAAAGGGAGAACTTGCTCAGCCTCGAGGCGGCTGACCAAAGCATGCAGGGAAAACGGCTTTTCTTGGCTCCTTCACAAAAACCTGCAGGGTCAGCTCCCTGCCTTTCCAGAGAGACAGGCGACGTGCAGTACGAAAGACACGGAGAGTTTATCACTGAATCGAAGCTGGCCCAGGTGACCGATGGTCCCCAGTGCCTTGCCAAGGACTTCTCCCTCCTGGCTGAAAATTGGTGGGCGGGGGGGGGGGGGGGGGATGCAGGCTCTCCCGGACTCTCTTTTTTTCCCCCACCGAAAACACTCTTAAATCACCCAATTTAAACTCCTGCCTGTTCCAGAGAGGGATAGAGACACTATAGGGGGGAGTGCCAGCTTTTCCAGACACCTGCCTGGTGACTAGTCTTGCCTGCTGCTTGGGCCTCGGAGATGTTTTGTGCTGGGATCCTTTTAATCTGTTGTGGATATTTTCTCAGGGAAAGGCCTGTAGAACTGTTAAAACCCTCAAGTGCTGTTTTTTTCAAGAATCGATCACTTCTTAACTCTGGTACCTGCCTTCCCTGAAATGTGCTGGGAGCTTATCTAGGGGCACCTCTATCTTGAATGCCACCTTCATTCAGTTTGCCCACAACACTGCAGAGTTGGGAGGGCTTCTCTCTTCATCGTGTGTCTCCCTCGGACTGAAGGTGTCTAGAGCAGACATCCCTGCATTGGCAGTTTGGCCATTTTATTTCATTCTTTCAAATGACCACAAACTGATAATGCTGATTTTTGAGTCACAAAGATCATTAGCTCTAGTTACAATGAGCAACTGAAGACAACCCCAGGCCAAGGATTCAAGCCGGGGAGCCACATCTCAGCCCGTGGCTTCTTCCATATCCTTCCTTGTGTCTCCATCTGCTGGGAATTAAAAGTGATGCTCAAGCTACAGCAGACATCCTTTATTTTCTTTTTTGGGTGCAAACTAGCCATCTCATTATACAGACATCACTCTATGCCTTTTGTAGTAAGCAATGTTACCGGAAAAAAATAAGAACTAGAAAGCAAAGGAAATTAAAGATATGAGATATGAGAAAGATGATAGATTTCTAGTTTACAACAGCGCTCCGCGCCTCTCTGTCCTCGTAAAACGTCTTTGCTTCCACCACATCCCTCCACCCTTCATGTGTTGCATTTTTTGTTCTTTTGGAAGACTTCGTCCGTTTGATCCAGCCGTGTCTTTCTTGGTTTTCTCTTTCCTCTCAGTCCTTTCACTCTTCCTTCATAGATGTGTGTTTCATTCCATCCTCATTTATCCTCTCCATGTGACCAAACCACTTCGGTGTGCTTCTCTCCCACAGGGCCACTCATCTGTGTATTCAGTCCACATTCATTCACTGCCCATTTATTCTTGATCCTTTCTCTTCTTGTTTTACCCCATATACTTCCTAAGCAACCCATTTCCACTGCATATAACTTATGTTTGTGTTTCTCTGGACATACACAACCCGCACTCCACTCTTTTTCCATAAGCATTTGCAAAGAAAGCATAAAATTTCTTCATTGCTCCAACAAGTTGGCCATCTGCATAGAACTTGCAGTCATTCACTGCACTTTCTCTGTCAGCTACCTTCGTCTTCGATTAATTCATTCTCTGACCTTATCATCTACTTATCATTACCTCATAGAAAGTGTGGACTTCAGGCTGCCTGGCGAGTTCCGGGAGTCAAAGTCCATGCAGGTTAACACTGCCAAGTTTGAGAAACACTGCTCTAAACCAACAGATGCATAATAAACTTTATTTTCAATCTGTATCTAAAAGGAATCTAAAAGGAGGGGTAGGAGCATTAGATGGGTGTAGGGGGCATAAAGGTTCGTATGTGGCAGACTATGTCTATCAAGTGCCTGGGGAGGAGTCTTGCCCAGTTTTCTGGGAACGGTTTGAACCTGTTGGACCTGAGGAAGTGGGCAGGTTCCTTGGAGCTGTGAGCTCAGCCACTGCTCTTTAGATCCATGCATCTCCTGGGTTGTTAAAGCGGCCGGGGGGTGGGGGGTGTTCGTGTGAGTGGGTTCTAGCAGTGGTGAATTCTTCTTTGAGTGAAGGGGGGTGTTCCTTTACCTCTTTTTGTCCAGTATCTAACCTTCCCTTTTTGGGGAAGGTGACTGAGTAGGGGGTTGGGCAGCAGCTTCAGAGGACCTTGGAAGAAGGGGATTATCTGGTTCCTATTCAGTCGGGATTCAGGCCTGGGTTTGGATGGAAATGGCGTTGGTCGCATTTTTCGATGACCTCTGGCGAGGGGAGGATGGGAGTTGTGCATCCATCCTTGCCCTACTTGACCTCTCTGTGGCCTTCAGTACCATCAACCATGGTGTCCTTCTGAATCAGTTCAGAGGATTGGAGGTGAGTGGCACTGTATTGTGCTGGTTTGCCTCCTTTCTCTGGGATCGATTCCAGTTGGTGATTTGGGGGGGAGAGCCCACCCTTGGCTCCTACTGTGTGGGGTTCTGCAGGGTTCAGTGCTCTCTCCACTCCTATTTGACATCTGCATGAGGCTGCTGGGTGAGCTCATCCACCACCATGGGGTGAGGTATCATCAGTATGCTGATGATACCCAACTATACATCTCTGCCCCTGGCGAATTAAGTGATGCCGTGAACGTCTTAACCCGGTGCCTGGGGGCTGTGGGGGTCTGGATGGGGAACAACAGGCTTCAGCTGAACCCTGGCAAGACTGAGTGGCTTTGGGT